TGAGAATAGGACACAGGACCTTCTAGAAAAAGAGGACAATGTAGGCAACAGACACCATAGTGTCTGTAGGGGACCTCGAAGCAGTTCTTTGTGGCTAAGTGCCATCGTATGTGGCAGGAAGTTGCAAACGAGGAATTCTAGGATTGGCTCAGAGGCTGTTTATATAAACAGGAAGAATCTGTTTCCTTGATCTACTCTAAGTTCCCTGACATAAGAATTTCTGAATCCCGCCAGACGCGGTGGCTCACGCCTGTAATCCCAGCACTTTGGGAGGCCGAGGTGGGTGGATCACAAGGTCAGGAGATCGAGACCATCCTGCCTAACACAGTGAAACCCCTTCTCTACAAAAAATACAAAAAAAAAAATTGGCCGGGTGTGGTGGTGGGCATCTGTAGTCCCAGCTACTCAGGAGGCTGAGGCAGGAGAATGGCGTGAACCCAGGACGTGGAGCTTTCAGTGAGCCAAGATCACACCACTGCACTCCAACCTAGGTGACAGAGCGAGACTCCGTCTCAAAAAAAAAAAAAAGAATTTCTGAATCCCAGCACTTTGGGAGGCCAAGGTAGGTAGATCACAAGGTCAGGAGATTGAGACCATCCTGGCTAACACGGTGAAACCCCATCTCTACTAAAAAAAAATACAAAAAATTAGCTGGGTGTGGTGGCAGGTGCCTGTAGTCCCAGCTACTCCAGAGGCTGAGGCAGGAGAATGGTGTGAACCTGGGAGACGGAGCTTGCAATAAGCCGAGATCGCGCCACTGCACTCCAGCCTGCTGCACTCCAGCCTGGGCAACAGAGCGAAACTCCATCTCAAAAAAAAAAAAAAAAAAAAGTATTTCTGTATCTGGAAAGCTAAGTATGTCGTCATCCTTTCTGGCCTTGCCTAGGTAGTTAATTATCTTATTTTCTTCTGCTGAAATTTCTAGTTTTGGCCTACTCAAATTTAATTTTTTAATTTTTTAATTTTGTTTTTGAGGCGGAGTCTTGCTGTCACTCAGGCTGGAATGCAGTGGCACTGTAGGAGGCTGAGCCACAGACAAAACTCCTCAGACACCGAGTTAAAGAAGGAAGGGGTTTATTCGGCTGGGGGCATTGGCAAGACTCCTGTCTCAAGAGCCGAGCTCCCTGAATGAGCAATTCCTGTCCCTTTTAAGGGCTCACAACTCTAAGTGGGTGCATGTGAGGGGGTCGTGATTGATTGAACAAGCAGGGGGCATGTGACTGGGGACTGCATGCACCGGTAATTAGATCGGAACAAAACAAGACAGGGATTTTTACAGTGCGTTTCTATACAATGCCTGTAATCGATAACCGATTAGGTCAGGGGTCGATCTTTAACTTCCAGGCCCAGGGTGTGGCACTGGGCTGTCTGCCTGTGGATTTCATTTCTGCCTTAGTTTTTACTACTTCTTTCTTTGGAGGCAGAAATTGGGCATAAGACCATATGAGGGGTGGTCTCCTCTCTTAGTGGGATCTCGGCTCACTGCAACCTCCGCCTCCTGGGTTCAAGAGATTCTTCTGCCTCAGCCTCCTGAGTAGCTGGGAGTACAGGTGTGCACCACCATACCCGGCTAATTTTTGTATTTTCAGTAGAGATGGGGTTTCACCATGTTCTCGAACTCCTGACCTCAGGTGATCTGCCTGCCTCAGTCTCCCAAAGTGCTGGGATTACAGGTGTGAGCCACACCTAGCCTGAATTGAATTTTTTTTATTTTTTATTTCTCGAGATGGAGTCTTTTTTTTTTTTTTTGAGACAGAGTCTCGCTCTGTCGCCCAGGCTGGAGTGCAGTGGCGCGATCTTGGCTCACTGCAAGCTCTGCCTCCCGGGTTCATGCCATTCTCCTGCCTCAGCCTCCCGAGTAGCTGGGACCACAGGCAACCGCCACCTTGCCCAGCTAGTTTTTTGTATTTTTTAGTAGAGACGGGGTTTCACCGTGTTAGCCAGGATGGTCTCGATCTCCTGACCTCGTGATCCGCCCATCTCGGCCTCCCAAAGTGCTGGGATTACAGGCTTGAGCCACCGCGCCCGGCCTAGATGGAGTCTTGCTCTGTCACCCAGGCTGGAGTGCAGTGGCGTGACCTCGACTCACTGCAACCTCCACCTCCTGGGTTCAAGCGATTCTTCTGCCTCAGCCTCCTGAGTAGCTGGGACAACAGGCACGTGCCACCACACACCCGGCTAATTTTTATATTTTTAGTACAGACGTGGTTTCACCATGTTGGCCAGGATGGTCTCGATCTCCTGACCTCATGAACCACCTGCTTTGGCTTCCCAAAGTGCTGGCATTACAGGCGTAAACCACTGTTGCCCAGCCAGAAAACTCTCCTCTACCATAGAGCTCAACCTTTAGCACATTCAAGAAGTATTCACAAAATAAAGTATATACAATTTAAAATTTAGCTGCTCAAAAAAGATGTCATCATATAGACAGTAGGGCAAAATGCCCACTAAAAAAATTAGTTCTACAATTACAGTGAATTTGACATCAATCAGTAAATGTGTTTATAATCGTAACACAGTCCTTACTAACAATGTAATCAAGGATTTTTTTTTTTTTTTTTTTGAGACGGAGTTTTGCTCGTTACCCAGACTGGAGTGCAATGGCGCAATATCGGCTCACCGCAACCTCCACCTCCCGGGTTCAAGAGATTCTCCTGCCTCAGCCTCCTGAGTACCTGGGATTATGGGCATGTGCCACCACGCCCAGCTAATTTTTGTATTTTTAGTAGAGACGAGGGTTTCTTCATGTTGGTCAGGTTGGTCTCAAACTCCTGACCTCTTGATCCACCCACCTCGGCCTCCCAAAGTACTGGGATTACAGGTGTGAGCCACCGCAGCCGGCCATTAATTTCTTAAAATCATCTAGTATCCAGCTTTCAAATTTCTTAGTCTCATATATATATTTTTATATTTAGTTTGCGCAAAACAAAATCAAAATAAAGCCTTTTACATCCTTTAAATCTACAACTGTCTCCCCCTCCCCTTCCTTTTTTACTTAATATTTTCTCACTGAATAAACTGGGTGACTTGTCCTATAGAATTTCCCATATTCTGGAATTGGCAGATAGTATCCCCTTGGTGTCATTTAACATGTTCTTTTCTTTTTGGTTTGAGTCAGGGTCTCGCTCTGTCACCCAGGCTGGAATGCAGTGGAATGATCACAGCTCATTGCAATCTCAAACTTCTGGGCTCAGGTGATCATCTTGCCTCAGCCTCCCCAGTAGCTGGGACTACAGGTGTGTACCACCACATTCAGCTAATTGTTTAATTTTTTTTGTAGAGATGGGGTCTCGCCACGTTGCCAAGGCTGGTCTCAAATTCCTGGCCTCAAGCGACCCTTCTGCCTCAGCATCCCAAAGTGTTGGAATTTCAGGCATGAGCTACTGTCCCTGGCCTGAAAATGTGCTTTAAAGAAGACCTTACTTGAATACTGGAAATATTTAAGATTTAAAGAAGAGCAAGGATTGTGTATTTGAAAGTAATTGATACAGAATTGTCCATGCAGCTACAGAACCACCTCAATCTACAAGTACATCATGTGTTGTACTGCAAAATGTTTGACAAACCTTGTAGCTGATGATTTCAATTTACTCCACAAAGTATCTAGTAAAGGGTGACTGCAATGAACCAAGCAAGAGGAGAAAATAATCACAGACACAACAGCTGGAATATTGCTTTAAATGTAAATCAGATCAAGTGACTCTTCTGCTCTCAAACTCTAATGGCTTTCCTTCACACTTAGAATACAATAAAAAATTGGTAGCACACTATGGCTTCCGTGGCACTAGGATAAAGCTCTACCTACCTCTCTGACCTTATTTCCTACCACTTTCCTCCTCTCGCTGTGCTCCAAACTCCTTGCTCTTCCTAAAGCATGCCAAGATTTTTCCTGCCTGGGGCCTCTGCGCTTGCTGTTCCACACACCTGAAAGTCATTTTCTCCCAAGTAATCAGTTCACTTCCGCACTTCATTTTAGGCTTTTGTTCAGTGCCATCCTCTCAGAGCCCCTCTTAACTACCCTATATAAAACAGCACCCTACCATATTCCTCCCTCTTCATCTCCTTACCCTGGTTTACTGTTTAGTCTCCAGGACATATAACAAGCTGCCGTTGTACTATAAACTAATTGGTTTCTTTCCCCTACTGGGATATAAGCTCTGTGACAGTGAAGACTTTTGCTCACTTCTCCAGTATCTACTAGGTACCACACAAATATCTGACTACATTTAATCAACAATCTAATTTACTGTTCCCAAACTATATTAAATAGGTAGTATTGCTATCCTCACTTTACAGTTTGCAGGAAAACTATCGGCGTACAAACCTTAAGACCTGAGAACAAACTGAGGGAACAAGAAGTCTGGACTTGACGACTGATCACCGAAACAAGTAAATGAAAGCGAAGTCGTCTGATTAGTATGGAAGGGAAACCCAAGCCATACAAGAACACTAACTAAAATTTGGGCCACGCAGGAAGAAGGCAGATGGAACTGATGCTAGATAACTGAGGCTCTTTCCTAATGACAGGACCTTATGTTGCCCTCATAATTACCCCGTGAGGTAGGCAAAGCAGGCATTGTATTACACAATCATTAAGCAGGACGGGAACGGCCAGGCTTCGCAGCCAGGAGCGATGGCCTGTTTGGCTCTGCGCTCATGGGTTTGGACAGTTACATAATTAACACCCTAACCCTGGGGCTTCCCGCAGCTCCCCGGCGGGGCTCAAGTCACTGGCCTCCCGACCGGAAGCGGACCCCAGGAGAACCACGACAGTTGGTTACTCCAGGAAAATTCCTGCGCGGGGCGTGGACTGATGAGTCACTGAGTATTACGCAAATTGCGCGAGCGCGCGGGAAAAGCGATTGGTCGGTCCGGAGAGAGAGGTGTGTCCTGGCGGGCTTGCATCTCCTCCGATTGGCCGACAGGCTGACGGGACCGTTTACAGTCAGCCCTACGTAGAGTGAGCGTGTGTCAGCGACGTGCAACCCGGAAGGGAAGAAGGGGCGTGTCAGGCTGCGGCAGGGGACCAGCCGATTGGCTGAGAGGGACCGGAGCCGGGCTGCCGGCCCGACCACAGAAGGGCGGTGCTGCAAGGCTAGTCTGGGAGGTGACGACCGGCTTCGGAGAGTCTATCATGGCAGCTCGGACTGGTCACACAGCCTTGAGAAGGGTGTTCTCAGGATGCCTTCCGAAGTCGGCGACAGCGGCCTGCGCCCCCGCACGGGCGCTTGTGCGGAATGGCAGGTAATCAACAGCGGGGGCGCTGCGACGAGAGTAGTTTTCCATTTTGGCTGCCGAGTTGGAGGACCGGAAGGATTTGGGGGTGAGGCAGAGCCGGACTCGGTGCATTTCCGTGTCTTTAGAGGAGAAAGCTCTTTTGCGTTTGGCATCTGAGGGACTCAGGAGCGGCGCGCATCCCCCTGGGCCCAAGGCTATGTTCGAGCCTCCTTTCCCTCTTGAGAGGCGGTGAAATCATCGGCAAAGCGACTTTGGAAGCAATTTGGCCATTGGTGCCTTGGGGCTCTTCCGGTCTCCTCCCCTATGGCCTGTTGCTACTGCTGTTGGAAAGTGTTAGCTTTGCGCGGAAGGGGTGCCGGCTGCTGGTTGTATGGGAGTTTGTGGTTTGGCGGTGAGCTGCCTTCTCCGATTCCTTCTACCTGCCAGATGGTCAGATGCGTTTTCCCAATTTCTGAAAGAGTGCTTTGCCCTCACCATTTAGTGTTTACAAAACTAAATGTAGCCAACATAAGGGACCTGGATTTTTTCACTCTGCTATAACTTACAGGTCCTGTAACCTTGAACCGTAGTCTGCTTTCGATTTTCCTGGTTGGTTCAATTTTTGGTAGTTGAGGGTGGAGATGGAGGTCGGAACATGGATACCATACTTGTACGACATAGTTTTCTTTTATTAATAACATTGTAATGTTCTTGAAAATTAAAGTTAGTGTGTTTTAAATGATTTCAGGTGTACAAAGTACGACGTGGGGAGAGAAAACACAAATCTGGTTGAGCCCCAGGACATTTAGATTAAATTAAGATCCAGCCCTACGGGAAACGAGGAAATAATTTTTTTAAAAAAAGATTCAATTAAGAATATTTAAAAACACCAACAACCTTACCAAATCCAAATCCCTTTAGACAAATGTTGGATGAGACAAATCATAAAATTACTCCTGCTTTAGAAAGTAACTTCAAAAAGTAGTTTCAAGCAGAATAACCCCGTCATACTTCAGATCTGTTTGTATTACTCTTATAAAATGTTGTCTTGCAAATAAACAACACTTGCTTTTGAGAAAAATACAGTTGCTTTAGTGATCAAATTGAGGCTTCAGTTCCAAGATAAATACTGTTTATGATAATGAGGGCGGCAGTTTGAGTTCATTTCCAGCGTTAGTCATCAGATTCTGACCTTTATTATACTTAGGTATTTGAGAGAGTAGTACTGGAAGAGGAGTGACAAAAAAAGCTGTTTTCCATGTGGTCCAGTATTCATTTCATGGCTTAACTGTATATATGAATGTGTGTCTCCTCATATCGTAGTTTAAGACATAGTATTCCTGGAAGTGCGTGAGAATAGATGTGCTGTCCAGGGCACTGTAACTATAGCATGCAAATTAATCAGAAAATGCCCTGTCAGTTTGCTTTAAACACAGGTGTTTTCCTTAGGATTGTAATCAGATTGTGTAAGGGTATTTTTTTGCGTAGGCTGGGAGGCAATACATAAACCTGGTAGAAAGGTTCATGTATTGACTCCCACTAAACACATGAACCATTGTATATAGTAAAAAGTCAACCAGATACCCAGTTCACCTCTTTAGAAGCAAAGATCTCGTCTTTTCAAGTAAAGGTTTCAGCACTATTCACAATAGCCAAGATACAGAATCAACGTAGGTGTCCAACAACAGATGAATGGGACTGGGCTCAGTGGCTCACGCCTGTAATTCCAACACTTTGGGAGGCTGAGGCGGGAGGATTGCCTGAGCTCATGAAACCAGCCTGGACAACATGGCAAAACTTTGTCTCTACCAAAAAAAAAAACAGAAAAAAAAAAGTGTGTGTGTGTATACACATACATATATACAGAAAAATTAGCTGGCTGTGTGGTAGTGCAAGCTTGTGGTTCCAGCTGCTCGGGAGGCTGAGATGGGAGCATCACTTGAACCCAGGAGGTTGAGGCTACAGTGAGCCTTGTTTGGGCCACTGCACTCATTCCTGGGCAACCAAGCCAGATCCTGTCTCAAAAAACAAACAAGGTCGGACACAGTGGCTCATATCTGTAATCCCAACACTTTGGGAGGCTGAGGCAGGAGGATCACTTGATATCAGGAGTTTGAAACCAGCCTGGACAACATAGCGAGACCTCGTTTCTACAGATAAGTAAAAAATTAGCAGGGCTTGGTGGCACATGCCTGTGGTCCCAGCTAATTGGGACCTGAGGTGGGAGAATTGCTTGAGCCCAGGCAGTGGCTGTGGTGTGTCATGACTGTGCCACTGCACTCCAGCCTGGGTGGTGGGACACAACAACAACAACAAAACAGAAGAATGGATAAAGAAAATGTGGTGTATATATTCATACACGACGGGAATACTATTCAGCCATAAAAAGAGAATGAAATCCTGACATTTGCAGCAACATGGATGGACTTGGAGGACATTATGTTAAGTGAAATAAGCCAGGAACAGAAAGTTACACATGACGAGTTCTCTCTCGTATGTGGCAGCTAAAAGAAGTTGATCTCAAACAAGCACAGTAGCTCATGGGTGTAATTGCGGCACTTTGGGAGGCCAAGGCGGGCAGATCACAAAGTCAAGAGATCGAGACCATCCTGGTCAACATGGTGAAACCCCGTCTCAAAAAAAAAAAAAAGAAACCCCGTCTCTACTAAAAATACAAAAATTAGCTGGGTGTGGTGGCAGGCGCCTGTAGTGCTAGCTACTTGGGAGGCTGAGGCCGGAGAATCGCTTGAACCGGAAGGCAGAGGTTGCAGTGAGCCGAGATAGCACCACTGCACTCCAGCCTGGCGACGGAGCAGGACTCCATCTCAAAAAAAAAAAAAAAAGTTGATCTCGTGGAAGTAAAAAGTAGAACAGAGGATACTAAAGATTGGGAAAGCTGGGAGAAAGGAAGGGATAGGGAGAGATGTGTTAAAGGATACAAAATTAATGCTAGCTAGGAGGAATACATTTCTAGTGGTCTATACCCGCAGTTCCAAACCTTTTTGGCACCAGAAACCAGTTTTGTGGAACACAGTTTCTCCACTAATGAGGGTGGTGGGGGATGGTTTCAGGATGAAACTGTTTCACCTCAGATCATCAGGCATTAGTTAGATTCTCATAAGGAGCAAACAACGTAGATTCCTCACATGTGCAGTTCACCACGGAGTTCCTGCTCCTATGAGAATCTGATGCCATCGCTGATCAGACAGGAGGTGGAACTCGAGCGGTAGTACCTCCTGCTGTGCAGCCTGGTTCCTAACAAGCCACGGACAGGCACCAGTCCATGGCCTGGGTGTTGGGGATCCGTCTTCTATACCACTGTAGGATGACTATACTTAGCAAGAACATATAGTTTCAAATAGGTAGAAGGAGGATATTGAATGTTCCTAATGCAAATAAATGATGAATGTTTGAGATGATGGATGTGTTAATTACCCTGATTGATCACTGATACATTGTATGTATCGAAACATAGAATTATGCTCTTACCACTATTAGAAAATCAACTACTACTTGTGATGTCCCAGAAAATTTAGAATTCACAAAGCCATCTTGCTTTTTTATATTTTCATTTATAAAGTGTTATTTAGAGCAGAATATATAAGAATCTTAGAATCTTAAAAGGTCCTAATAAGTTCACCCATGTGCAGTTTATGTTTCTTTTCCATGACACTTTTTTTTTTTTTTTTGAGACAGGGAGTCTTGCTGTGTTGCCCAGACTGGAGTACAATGGCGCCGTCTCGGCTCACTGCAGCCTTCATGTCCCAGGGTCAAGCATTTCCCCTGCCTCAGCCGCCTAAGTAGCTGGGATTACAGGCACGTGCCACCATGCCCGGCTAATTTTTGTATTTTTAGTAGAGGCAGGGTTTCACCATGTTGGCCAGGCTGGTCTCGAACTCCTGACTTCCATTGATCCACCTGCCTCGGCCTCCCAAAGTGCTGAAATTACAGGCGTGAGCCCCCGCACCCAGCCTTCATTACATTGTAACAGATAGTCATGTAGTATTTAGCTTAAGCACATTCATTGACCTCTATTTCATTTTCTCTGTAATAAGTCTGTTCAATTTTTATAAACAGCTCTAAAGTGCTTTATTGTATTATAGAGCCCAAATTTGTCTCCCTGTAGTTGAGGTTTTGTTTTATGCTTTGGGGTCATATTTTCTTTTTTTTGAGACGGAGTCTCACTCTGTTGCCCAGGCTGGAGTGCAGTGGCATGATCTTGGCTCACTGCAAGCTCCGCCTCCCAGGTTCACGCAATTCTCCTGCCTCAACCTCCCAAATAGCTGGGACTACAGGCGCCCCCCACCATGCAGAGCTAATTTTTTGTATTTTTTTTTAGTAGAGACGGGGTTTCACTGTAGTCTCAATCTCCTGACCTCGTGATCCATCCGCCTCAGCTCCCAAAGTGTTGGGATTACAGGCGTGAGCCACTGCGCCTGGCCTGGGGTCATATTTTCTTTTTCTTTTTCTTTTCTTTTTTTTTTCTTTTTTTGAGACAGAGAGTTGCTGTCACCCAGGCTGGAGTGCAGTGGTGTGATCCACTTCATTTACATATATATGTATGTATATATGTGTATGTATTCATATATATAAATAAATAGAATGAGGCATTAAATGCTGCTAATGCCTATGTGTATTGGTATATACATATACACACACACAGTTATCATATATGTACATCTTTTCTCTCTTTGCATGGCTAACTCCTTGTCCCCTGTGTCTCAACTGAAATCTTTTAAGGTATTCGTAGGTCACCCTGTCTAAAGGAGGTCCTAATTACACCTCCCCCCATTTCTTTTTCAGCAGTTTTTTGAGTCAGTCTTCACCTAGAATATAATCTTCATAAGGCTTATGTTTGTTCTATTCACCATTATATCCTTAGTACCTAGCACAGTCTTAACTTAGAATAGGGGCTCAGTAAATATGTGGATAATTTAAATTGAATTATCCTGGCCAGCAATGACTATTAGTGTCAAATAGTTATGTAATAACCTTTTTTCTTGTCTTTTTTTTATTTTTTATTTTTTGAGATGGAGTCTCGCTCTGTCTCCGAGGCTGGAGTGTGGTGGCACAATTTCGGCTTACTATAACCTCTGCCTCCCGGGCTCAGGCAATTCTCCTGCCTCAGCCTCCCAAGTAGCTGGGACTACAGGCACCTACCACCACACTCAGCTAATTTTTTGTATTTTTAGTAGAGATGGCGTTTCACCATGTTAGCCAGGCTGGTCTTGAACTCCTGACTTCATGATCCACCCGCCTTGGCCTCCCAAAGTGCTGGGATTACAGGCATGAACCACCTCCCCCAGCCAGTTATGTAATAATCTTATTAAGGAAAGCTGAAAATATTTGGGTGAACAAGCATATGTCAAACATTTGTATATAGAAGTACCTCAAACAATAACTTTCTAGTTAGACATATTTTTACATATATGCATTGAAATGGAGACTGCGGGGTAAAGGAGAACACAGCAACAGTTGGTTTTTATTTGCTTTGTTTTTGCTTTTGTTGAAACAGAGTCTCACCCTGTCACCAGGCTGCTGTGCCGTGGTCTATTCATAGCTCATTGCAACCTCAAACTGCTGTATTCAAGCGATCCTGCTGCCTCAGGTTCCTGAGTAACGGGAACTACAGGCACATGCCACCATGGCTGGCTAATTTTTAAGGTTTTTTTTGTAGAGACAGGGTCACCATGTTGCCCAGGCTGGTCACAAACTCCTGGCCTCAAGGGATTCTCATGCATCGGCCTCCCAAAGCACTGGAATTATAGGTTGGAGCCACCATGCTTGGCATCAGTACTGACAGGACCACCAGATCTCTGCCAAGAGATTTGAGACCTAATTTTAAGTCTCATTGGAGTGGATCAAGAATTAAGAAACACCTGTGGATCCAGCTGGGAAAACAACGTAGGTAGACAACACAAATTGGAAAACAGATTTGGGTATCTAGCAAAGCTTATGGCAAGAGTAAGTTGTAACACACGACTACAGAGAAAGCCAACTTTCTGGGAGAGAGATGTTTTATGCCAGAAGCTTCTAACCTAACTAAGCAATTATTTTTAGTTTCTTATTTTATTTTTTTTTAATTTTTATTTTTTGAGACGGAGTCTTGCTCTGTCCCCCAGGCTGGAGTGCAGTGGCCGGATCTCAGCTCACTGCAAGCTCCGTCCGCCTCCCGGGTTCACGCCATTCTCCTGCCTCAGCCTCCCGAGTAGCTGGGACTACAGGCGCCCGCCACCTCGCCCGGCTAGTTTTTTGTGTTTTTTTAGTAGAGACGGGGTTTCACCGTGTTAGTCAGGATGGTCTCGATCTCCTGACCTTGTGATCCGCCTGTCTCGGCCTCCCAAAGTGCTGGGATTACAGGCTTGAGCCACCGCGCCCGGCCTATTTTTAGTTTTTTAACAGTGTTTAAGAAGCTGTACTTTTTCTTTGTTCGTGTGTGTGTATTTTTTCAGGAACATTCTGAAGTTGCAAAACCTTCCAAAGTGTGATAATTACTTTATAATAGTCTCTATAATTTGTGCTTCCTCTTAATTTTTACTGTCACTCTAAATCAGGTGATTTTTGTCTTTTCAGATATTTAGCTTCCTGTGGCATACTGATGAGCAGAACTCTTCCACTACATACCTCAATTTTGCCTAAGGAGATATGTGTACGAACTTTCTTCAAAATCACTGCACCATTAATAAACAAAAGGAAAGAATATTCAGAGAGAAGAATTTTAGGGTTTGTATATAACAAGAATTCTAACTAAAAGAGCATGTTCACAATTTTCTGTGAGGTATCATGCCTCTTTCTGGATTATGTTCTTACAGACTAAGCTCTTTTTTCTAGGTTGACTTTCTTCTTTTCTTTTTTTTTTTTTTCTTTTGAGATGGAGTCTTACACTTGAGTGCAGTGGCGCAATCTTGGCTCACTGCAACCTCCGCCTCCCGGGTCAAGCGATTCTCCTGCCTCAGCCTCCCAAGTCGCAGGCGCATGCCACCATGCCCGGCTATTTTTGTATTTTTAGTAGAGACGGGGTTTCACTATGTTGGCCAGGCTGGTCTCAACCTCCTGACCTCGTGATCCACGTGCCTTGGCCTCCCAAAGTGCTGGGATTACAGGCATGAGCCACCGCTCCTGACCTAGGTTGGCCTTTTTCATAGCCCTTGCTATTTTATAAATATTTGTTGAATGAATGTAATTATATGGTAAGTCTTCAGTATAGACTTAAATATTTGACATGTAAAGAAAATTATGACCTACATTTTTTGTTCATTGTTCTTTTCTATATTAGCAACATTACTAATACATTGAGCCATATGTTTACATAGTTTCCTCATATATAGATGTACATAGATAAGTACATACATACTAAGGCTCCTCATCTAGAACCTTTGGTAAACATTTTCTGTAAAGGGGCAGATAGTAACTATATTAAGTTTTGTGGGCAATAGGGACTGCTCAGCTCCTTCATTGTAGTCCAAAGGCAGACATACATCATATGTAAATAAATGGGTGTGGCCACATTCCAGTAAAACTTTATTTACAAAAACAGGTGGTGGGCCAGGTGTGGCCCCTGATATAGGCGTAAATAGAGCAGGTGGTAAAGACACTACAGTTCTGCTAAACCGGTAATATACCATCCCTCCATAGGGGAATTTCTACAAATGGCTCTTAATTCCCAACTGACCATGAAGCTTTGTGAAAGTGCATTTCGTGGCCGGGCGCGGTGGCTCAAGCCTGTAATCCCAGCACTTTGGGAGGCCGAGACGGGCGGATCACGAGGTCAGGAGATCAAGACCATCCTGGCTAACCCGGTGAAACCCCGTCTCTACTAAAAAATACAAAAATCTAGCCGGGCGAGGTGGCGGGCGCCTGTAGTCCCAGCTACTCGGGAGGCTGAGGCAGGAGAATGGCGTGAACCCGGGAGGCGGAGCTTGCAGTGAGCTGAGATCCGGCCACTGCACTCCAGCCTGGGCGACAGAGCGAAACTCCGCCTCAAAAAAAAAAAAAAAAAAAAAGAAAGTGCATTTCGTTAATTTTACTCATTTGCTTTTGTTCTCTCTATTTTTCTGTAGTAAAAGACTTAACAGCATTGTTCACTAAGTTTATCTTTATTACTAGCTAGTCTCTGTATTAGTTAAGGTAATGCTAACAGCCATATAGATAATACCCAAGAGTTCATTTTTTTCTCATGTAGAGTTCAAATGGGTGTGTCATGTACTGTAGTCCAGGTAGTGACTCAGAAACCCAGGCTACATCCAACCTTTGACCTCTGTAGTTACTTAGTCTTCATAGTGTTAATTGGTCTGGAGGTGACACACAACACCTCCTCCCAGATATTACTGGCAACAGCTAATTGTGACCCCATCTAAACGTAGTGGGAATGAGGACTGGGAATTGTTGCTTCTGATGGGCAGGTACATCCTAGCAACAGCACCACGTAAAAGGAGTGCAAATCTTTGGATGGACATCATTGCCACAGGTGTTACCTGTTAAAAAGAGAAATGGCAACTACAAAAATAGTGATTTAGTTTGCTTTACTGTGTGTGTGTGTGTGTGTGTGTGTGTGAGAGAGAGAGAGAGAGGAAGAGGTGTACAGGGTCTCAGAGAGAGAGAGAGAGAGGTGTACAGTGTCTCACTCTACAGCCCAGGGACCTGTAGCCAGAGAGAGAGAGAGGTGTGGTATACAGAGTCTCACTCTGTAGCCCAGGCTGTAGCATGCTCTTCGCTCACTGCAACCTCTGTCTCCTGGGTTTAAGCAAATCTCATGTCTCAGCCTCCTGAGTAGCTGGGATTACAAGCATGTGCCACCACACCTGGCTGATTTTTGTATTTTTAGTAGAGATGGGGTTTTACCATGTCGGCCAGGCTGGTCTCAAACTCCTGACCTCAGGTGATTTGCCCACCTCAGTTTCCCAAAGTGCTGGGATTATAAGCATGAGCCACCACGCCTGGCCATACTCTCAGTTTTTTTTTTTTTTTTTTTTTTTTGAGACGGAGTCTCACTCTGTAGCCCAGGCAGGAGTGCAGTGGCCGGATCTCAACTCACTGCAAGCTCCACCTCCCGGGTTCACGCCATTCTCTGGCCTCAGCCTCCCGAGTGGCTGGGACTACAGGTGCCTGCCACCTCGCCCGGCTAGTTTTTTGTATTTCTTAGTAGAGATGGGGTTTCACCGTGTTAGCCAGGATGGTCTGGATCTCCTGACCTCATGATCCACCCATCTCAGCCTCCCAAAGTGCTGGGATTACAGGCTTGAGCCACTGCGCCCGGCCCCATACTCTCAGTTTTTAAATGCTGGCTACTAAAATTTTAAAAACTACCTCTTTAGGCTGGACGTGGTGGCTCACGCCTGTAATCCCAGCACTTTGGGAGGCCGAGGAGGGTGGATCAGCAGGTCAGGAGATCGAGACCATCCTCAACACAGTGAAACCCCGTCTCTATTAAAAATACAAAAAATTAGCTGACCATGGTGGCACGTGCCTCTAGTCCCAGCTACACAGCACAGGCAGGATAATCGCTTGAACCGGGAGGTAGAGGTTGCAGTGAGTGGAGATCATACCACTGCACTCTAGCCTGGGTAACAGATTGAGACTCCATCTCAAAAAAAAAAGAAACAAAAACAAAAACTACCTCTTTATATCAGATTCAACCTGTGAGATGCCAAATTGTGATCTCTGCCATACCCTATACCCTATATATATTTATTTAGAGACCTTTTTATTTTCTGTACTGCTTTGAAGTCATTGATTCCAGAATGTGGTTCAACATATGTGTTGAATGATTTATTTATCATATACAGTAAGTTTTATACATACTCACTTTGAAGTATGCGTATATTATATAACTAGATGGAGTTAATACTTCTTTTTATTTTTATTTTTTAAAGATATTCAATGCAGGAAATGTATGATGTAGTATCGGGAGTGGAGGATTACAAGCATTTTGTTCCTTGGTGCAAAAAATCAGATGTTATATCCAAGAGATCTGGATATTGTAAAACACGATTAGAAATTGGATTTCCACCTGTGTTGGAGCGATATACATCAGTAGTAACCTTGGTGAAACCTCATTTAGTAAAGGTAACAGTTTTGTTTTTTGTTGTTTTTAAATATTCTCCCATATATTAACTCTGTCAAATGGGTTAAAATGTAATAGCCTAAAAAAACTTATTTAACCTAACAGGAGGAGGGTAAAAAATGTATTACGTTTTCTAACTGTGTTACTTTATCAATATTAGCATTATTCTTTCCAAATAAAAGTTTGAATATAATATGGGAATGGGAAACTTTTGCCTTTTTTTTCCATTTTGTTGAGGACTACTGACCCACAGGACAGATCACTTGCACCACCCAAGTGGGAAATGTTTTAATTTAATTTTTCAGCTGTTTTAAAATATGAATTAAATACTTTATTATTGGGGGAAGAGTAAATTTGTTTACTAAAAATATAGTTTTTTAAATTAAAGAAGGAATGGTGGGGAAGAAGGAAGGAAAAAAATTAAAGTGGTGAGAGGATAAACAAAGGTAGAAAAGATACAGGCATGGTGCTGTGGCTCACCCCTTTAATCCCAGCACTTTGGGAGGCCAAGGCGGGCAGATCACAAGGTCAGGAGTTGGAGACTAGCCTAACCAACATGGTGAAACCCCATCTGTACTAAAAATACAAAAATTAGCCGGGCATGGTGGCACGTGCCTGTAGTCCCAGCTACTCAGGAGGCTGAGGCAGGAGAATCACTGGAACCCAGAGGCAGAGGTTGCAGCATGCCGAGATAGCGCCACTGCACTGCAGCCTGGGCAACACAGTGAGACTCTGTCTCAAAAACAAAACAAAACAAAAAAACAAAACAAAGATAAATATGTCATGTCAGGAGGCTGAGATCAGAACCCAAGAAGTCGAGGCTAGAGAGAGCTGTGATTAAGCCACTGCACTTCAGCCTGGGCAACAGAGTGAGACCCTGTCTCAAAAAAAAATTAAAATGAAAAGAAAAAATATAAAAATATTGGGGGGCACAGTGGCTCACACCTGTAATCCCAGCACTTTGGGAGGCCAAGGTGGGTGGATCACCTGAAGTCAGGAGTTTGAGACCAGCCTGGCCAACGTGGTGAAACCCCGTCTCTACTAAAAATACAAAAAAATTAGCCAATGTGGTGGCAAGCTGCTGTAATTTCAGCTACTCGAAGCTGAGGCAGAAGAATCACTTGAACCCAGGAGGCAGAGGTTGCAGTGAGCTGAGATCATGCCAGTGTACTCCAGCCTGGGCAACAAGAATGAAACCCTGTCTCAAAAAAAAATATATATATATGTGTGTGTGTGTGTGTGTGTGTATATATATATATATAAACATTGTTGAGATTATCCTGCCAAGTACCAGGTACTGAAATGCCAACTCCTCTTACATCATATTAATCATCTTATGCTTGTCAGAGGTGGATACACATATGGAAAAGGGTACCAACCTTAAAAACAAAAAGGCAGAATTCCATGCAATAATGCATATTTTTTTTTGCATTCCTATTTTGTAGTAGCCAAAGATTTTTAAAACTGAGTTATTTTTTGCCCACAGGATTTAATGATGATATCATTTCTTGGTAACTGGCCAGAGCCAAATACCTTAGTCAGCTCTTTGTTAGGCATTGAAGGGGGTGCAGCTCTCAGATGGGCTCTTTCTGGTGCAGCTAGAAAGAGAAAGAGAACACTCTCACTGTCCAGTGAAGCTAAGACCCTATCTGCCCTGTTCTTACCCTCAAAACTTGAATTCCACTTGAAATGTTGTGGACTAGGATTTTGCTATTATTGCAAATGTTTTCACGTGCTTGCCTCATTGTTTTAGAGCGTTTAAACTATTGTCTCTCATAATAGCTAACATTTATTGAGCCCATTTTACTGCTTTACTTGAATTATTCAAATTCTCACAACAGCCCTTTGAGGTTCAAGGGTTATTATTTATTTTAGAGTTGAGCGAACTAAGGCTTAGAAGAGATAGAAAAATTTTCCAATGTCACAGAGCCAAGACTCCAGCTGTCTGATACCAGTGAATATTTCTATAACCTTAATTTTTTTTTTCTATTTCCTGAGCTCAATTTACCATTCAGTCCCTTAGAACTTAAATCTTTTTTTTTTTTGGTGATGGAGTCTCACTGGGTCGCCCATGCTAGAGTGCAGTGGCGCCTCCAGGGGCGCGATCTCGGCTCACTGCAAGCTCCGCCTCCTGGGTTCACACCATTCTCCTGCCTCAGCCTCCCGAGTAGCTGGGACTTCAGGCTCACGCCACCAAGCCTGGCTAATTTTTTGTGTTTTTAGTAGAGATGAGGTTTCACCGTGTTAACCAGGATGGTCTCTATCTCCTGACCTCGTGGTCTGCCCGCCTCAGCCTCCCAAAGTTCTGGAATTATAGGCATGAACCACTGCGCCTGTCCAGAACTTAAATCTTAGTATATATATTAGGCTGCTTCTAACTAAAAGGACTCTAAATAAATCTCATTTCTTCCTCACTCTCTCCCTTTCTTCTGTTCGGAACCTGCTGCCTTTTTTTTTTTTTTTTCCTGAGACATTGTTGCTCTGTTGCCCAGGCTGCAGTACAGTAGCACGATCATAGCTCATTGCAACCTCTGCCTCCTGGGTTCAAGTGATTCTCCTGCCTCAGCCTCCCAAGTGACTGGGATTATAGGCATGTGCCACCACGCTTGGCTAATTTTTTTGTATTTTTAGTGGAGACGCGGTTTCTCCATATTGGCCATGCTGGTCTTGAACTCCTGACCTCAGGTGATCTATCCGCCTTGGCCTCCCAAAGTGCTGGGATTATAGCCGTGAGCCACCAGGCCCAGCCTCTCTCCCCTGCCTTCTTAAAACCTACAGGATAAGCTAGGTTTGGTAGCATGCACCTGTAATCCCAGCTACTCAGGAGGCTGAAGCAGAAGGATTGCTTGAGCCCAGGAATTTGAGGTTGTAGTGTACAGTGATCATGCCTGTGAATAGCTACTGCATTCCAGCCTGGGCAACATAGCAAGTAAGACTCCATCTCTAAAAAACAAACAAACAGGCTGGATGAGATGGCTAATACACGTAATCCCAGCACTTTGGGAGGCCGAGGCCGAGATGGGTGGATCACCTGAGGTCAGGAGTTTGAGACCATCCTGGCCAACATGGTGAAGCCCCATCTCTACTAAAAATACAAAACTTAGCCAGGCATGGTGGCAGGTGCCTATAATCCCAGCTACTTGGGAGACTGAGGCAGGAGAATCACTTGAACCCAGGAGGCAGAGGTTGCAGTGAGCCGAGATCGCACCATTGCACTCCAGCCTGGGCAATGAGCGAAATTCCATCTTAAAACAAACAAACACAAAACAAAAACAAAACCACACAGGATAAATCTCTTTATCATTGCACATTGACCCATTTACTTCCCTGCTCCCTCGTCCCACGTAATACTATACTTAATGTTCAGCTAATACCATATGTCTTAAAAGTTCCATGAATGCACAGTGCAGTACTATTCCACAGCGATGTGCCTTTGCATCTTGCTTATTCTTCTATCTGTAATGCACTTACCTTCTTGATATTCCTTGAAATTCTGACCATCTGGGGTCATTTTCTCTCTTTCCTTTCATATTGATAAGTAGCACTACCTTGGTGATTCTTCGGTGCTTTATTCATGCTTTCACTTATCACTCGGTGATATATTTCTTCAACAGGATTTCTCCTTGACAAGACTGTGGTACTTGAGGGAAGGAACCCGTGTCTTTTTCATCTCTGTATCCTCAACAGCAGTACTATAATGATGGGAGTCATGAGGGCTCCATACTTACAAAGCTTTCACTACCTGTATTCTTGGATTATTGCAGATTGAGAGACATTCATGATAATCTTAAGAGTGACTTGCAGCACTGCTAAGGGGGGAGATAAACTGTGTTAGAAAAAAAAGTAATCTTCATAATAACCTGCATTAGATGATCATAGCTATCTCAATTTTATGAAGCTTAAGGAGTTTAAGAACCTTGGGCAAATTCACACTTGCATGTGTCTGACTCCAAAACTATTTTTTCTTTTTTTTTTTCCCCCACTCTCCTTCCCCCTGTTTTTTCATTATAAGCTGCCTCACATAATAATGCTAGTTTGTTTTTTAAAGACATATTTGAGAATATATGCTCAACTTTCAGTTGTCCTGGGTTCAGTTTCCGGAATTTTTTTTTTTTGAGATCGAGTGTCACTCTTGTTGCCCAGGCTGGAGTGTAATGGCATGATCTCGGTTCACCGCATCCTCTGCCTCCTGGGTTCAAGCGATTCTCCTGCCTCAGCCTCCTGAATAGCTGGGATCCCAGGCATGCACCATCAGACCGAGCTAATTTTTGTATTTTTAGTAGAAACAGGGTTTCACCATGTTGGCCAGGCTGGTCTCAAACTCCTGACCTCAAGTGGTCTGCCTGCCTCAGCATCCCAAAATACTGGGATTACAGGCATGACCCACCATGCCTGGCCTAGGTTCTGGATTTTATTTATTTGTTTATTTATTTATTGAGACGGAGTTTCGCTCTTGTTGCCCAGGTTTTGGATTTGATTGGTTGATTGATTGATTGAGATGGAGTTTCGCTCTTGTTGCCCAGGCTGGAGTACAATGGCACAATCTCGGCTCAGCACAACCTTCGTCTCCTGGGTTCAAGCGATTCTTCTGCCTCAGCCTCCTGAGTAGCTGGGATTACAGCCATGTGCCACCACGCCCAGCTAATTTTGTATTTTTAGTAGAGACGGGGTTTCTCCATTTGGTCAGGCTGGTCTCGAACTCCCGACTTCAGGTGATCCACCTGCCTTGGCCTCCCAAAGTGCTGGGATTACAGGCATAAGCCACCATGCCCGGCCAGGTTCTGGATTTTAATACCCAATAGACAACACAGTAAAAATAATTATTGTTATTTTTTACCCAATACAGTAAAAATTATTATAAGGGAAGAACAGAAATCATGTGACAATTCTGCAAATTATTAGCTGACCAAAACATGCCTGTCACTTAATATGTCAGTAATTCTAGTCTACACTAATCTTTAATGGCCAGAAGCCCTTGAACATTTTCAGAGAGGCAACAGTTCAATGACTTTTACTGCCTACTTCATGAAACAAACATTTTGTATGGATTAGTTTATATAATGGTCTGGATCAATTCTCTCAGAACAGGCAGTAGTGGATCATCATAGTGACAACTTCTGTTCAGTATCTCTGCTGTTAGAAATGAGGTCTTTGGCAAACTGTTCCTGTCAAAACATAAACAGTAAAAATCTGTACATCTTTGGGCTAGATAATTGAAGTGAGTGAAATACTGCTAGATTTTGTATAAAAGTAGTCAGAGGAGGCCGGGTGTGGTGGCTCATGCCTGTAATCCCAGCACTTTGGGAGGCCGAGGCGGGGGGAGATCACGTGGTCAGGAGATGGAGACCATCTTGGTTCACATGGTGAAATACCGTCTCTACTAAAAATACAAAAAAAAATTAGCCGGGTGTGGTGGTGAGTGTCTGTAGTCCCAGCTACTTGGGTGGCTGAGGCAGGAGAATGGCATGGACCTGGAAGGTGGAGCTTACAGGGAGCCAAGATCCCACCACTGCACTCCAGCCTGGGTGACAGAGTGAGACTCCATCCCAAAAAAGTAAATAAATAAATAGAGGAACTGACTCCCAAACCTGTTTATCCTTTACTCCCAAAACCTGTTTATCTTTTAGTGTTAAATTTCCTATAAGCTTCTTAAATGATTGTAAAGAAAGGCAGAATGTATTATCCTAAAATTGGGCAACTGAAATAACAAGATTTTATTACAGACTCTTGATGCTCTTAAAAATTACTTGTGCACTTCAGGAATGCTCTGGGTTATTTGTGCAGGTGAGGTGGCTCACGCCTGCTGTAATCCCAGCACTTTGGGAGGCCAAGGCAGGAGGTTCACTTGAGCCCAAGAGTTCATTACCAGCCTGGGCAACATAGGGAGAACACAGCTCTACAAAAAGTAAAAAAATTAGCTGGGCGTGGTGTCACACGCCTGTGGTCCCAGCTACTTGGGAGGCTGAGGTGGGAAAAAGTAAAAAAAAACTGAGCGTCACTCAGGGTCATAACCAGCATCATCAGTCCTAACAATGAACTAGTAACTATGGTTCTGGTTACCATTTTTACATTGCAGATGGCAACTCTTTCATGGATCTCAATAAATTTTTATTTATTGATTTATTTTTAAGACAGTCTTATTTTTAAGATTGTTACCCCAGGCTGGAGTTCAGTGGCGTAATTATAGCTCACTGCTGCCTCAGTCTCCTGGGCTCAAGCAGTCCCTTCACCTCAACCTCCTGGGTACTTGGGACTACTGGCATGCATCACTACACCTGGCTAATTTTTAAATTTTTTTTGAAGAGACAAGGAATCTTGTTTTGTTGCCCAGGCTGGAGTGCAGTGGCATAATCATAGCTTACTGCAGCCTCGAACTCCTGGGCTCAAGTGCTTCCCCCCACCTTGGCCTCCCAAAGTGATGGGATTACAAGTGTGAGCCACCACATCCAGCCACAATAAGTATTTTTTTAATGATACAAAATAGGAACTACCAAGATGCACTGCACATAGTATGGTTAAGTGTTGTGATTGTGTGCCTACTGAATATAAAATATACATGTGCATTGAAAAAATCAGAAAGAAATGGATCAGTTCTAAGGGCCAGGACTACACAGTTAGGAAAACTAGATAGAGGCCTCTAGGAATAAGGAGCAAAGAGTGAAGGAAAGACTATACGTGATTAATAAGAGAAGTCTTTGAGTAGGAGATAAATGTGTACCAGGTACCTTATTAACATTTCAGCGATCTCATGATATAAAGTAGGTATTATTTTGCAGATTAAGGAAATAGGGTATGGGGATTTAACTTGTTCACGATAACTTATATGTAGCAGAGCTGGAAATAAGCTTCCAAGAAGCTCCCTCTTTTGCTGCTAGAGGAAGGAAAGCTAAGTAGCAAAGCAGGTGTTAGCAATGGAAGAGAAAACAACTGGCAATCTTGGGGATCCCTGCAGAAAAAAAAAAAGGCTAATGTTGGCAAGACATTACTTCCTAGTACCAACTAAAAATTAGATCTCTTTATCTCCTGTGGTCTGACCTATAAAAATTATTACGAAAGAAATCAGCCGCAATCATAGTAGATTCTTAGATTCTGGCCAGTAGCAAAGGTATTTAACTGTGGTTTTATTTTTTCATTCTGTTCTAGGCATCTTGTACTGATGGGAGACTTTTCAATCATTTGGAGACTATTTGGCGTTTTAGCCCAGGTCTTCCTGGCTACCCAAGAACTTGTACCTTGGATTTTTCAGTAAGTCTCATAAAGCCTTTGATTTGTTTCACTAATAAGGTAAAATTGGTAAAAAGTAATCATTTTTTAGAACACAGAGGCCATAATTATATTGAAGACCTTTTTCTGCATAAATGCTAATGAACATTTCTTTTTTATTCTATTTCTTGCAACCTTGAATATTCCTTCATTCTCTACTTTCTATTTTTTACAAATCTGTAGATTATAAGACACATGCCATGACTTTTTGACCAGCTTAATAACAGTTTTGAACTTAATAGTTTTAAATTAACACCAAATGAAAGAACACATTGCATATAAGATGCAGAAACAGGCTAAGTGCAGTAGCCCATGTCTGGAATCCCAGCACTTTGGGAGGCTGAGGCAAGCGGATCACCTGAGGTCAGGAGTTCGAGACCAGCCTGACCAATATGATGTAACCCTAATTAGCCAGGCGTGGTGGCATATGCCTGTAATCCCAGCTACTTGGGAGGCTGAGACAAGAGAATCACTTGAACCTGGGAGGCAGAGGTTGCAGTGAGCCGAGGTTGTGCCATTGCACTCCAGCCTGGGCAACAAGAGCGAAACTGCCTCAAAACAAATAAAAATAAAAATAAAATTATCCCCGTGTAGTGGTGCCCACCAGTAGTCCTAGCTGCTGAGAAGGCTAACGAGCAGATCGCTTGAGTCCAAGGGTTCGAGCTTGCAGTGAACTATGATCACATCACTGCACTCCATCCTGGGCAACAGAGTGAGACCCTGTCTCAAAAAAATTAAATTTAAAAATAAAAGATGCAGAAATAAGGCAATAGGTTTTTTTCATTTTTTTGAATCTAGAGTCTGGTAACTTTCTGTTTTTTTTTTTTTTTTTTTTTCTCAGATGGGGCCTTACTCTGTCACCCAGGTTGGAGTGCAGTGCTGTGATATTTACTCACTGCAACCTCTGCTTCCCTGGCTCACGTGATCCTCCCACCTCAGCCTCCCAAGTAGCTGGGACTACAGGAATGCACCACCGCACACACTTATTTTTGTATTTTATGTAGGGATGGGGTTTCGCCATGTTTCCCAGGATGGTATCGAACTCCTGGGCTCAGGAGATCCGCCTACCTCGGCCTCCCAAAGTGCTGGGATTACAGTCATGAGCCACCACACCCAGCCTAGTAACTTTTTTTTTCATGTAATCTTAGTTATAGCAAACTTAAAGCAAGTTGTGGTTTTTCTTTGCCAACAGGTAATATGGGAGTTGTTCTCTGTACATGCAACTTGGGCATTGAATTTTAAGAAATGGTGGCAATTTTGACTAAATTATCGTGTGCTGTTCTCAGCTCTTGAGTAATTTTCATTAAAGCATTATAGACATTAATAGGACAATTGAGGCTGAGCACAGTGGCTCACACCTGTAGTCCCAGCACTTTGGGAGGCCGAGGTGGGCAGATCACTTGAGATCAGGAGTTTGAGACCAGCCTGGCCAACATGACGAAACCCCATCACTACTAAAAATACAAAAATTAGCCGGTTGTGTTGGTGCATGCTTGTAGTCCTAGCTACTTGAGAGACTGAAGCAGGAGAATCACTTGAACCCAGGAAGCAGACATTGCAGTCATCTGAGATTGCACCACTGCACTCCAACCTGGGAGACAGTGAGACACTGTCTCAAAAGACAGTTCGGAAAATTTGAATAAGGTCTGTATAAATTAGATAATAGCATTATTATCTAGTAGTAGTAACTCCCTCTGTTAATTTCCTGATTTTGAGAATTACAGTATGGTTATTGAAGACATTAAAATAGGAAATTTGAGTAATGGGTACATGGGAATTCTTTGTATTGTTTTTCAGGTTTTCTTTTACAAAAATGAAATTATTTCATAATGAAAAGTAAACATTTTAATATTTAGAGGATATTTGGTCCTTAAAACACAGTTCTCAAACCAGTTGTCTTGAATTCTATATGGAACAATGAGAGGGTATAAATAAAGTTCTAAAAGGGTATCCAAGGGAGAGAATACAGTCATGGGTTCTTAGTTTCTGTTTCTGGTTGGGCCAGTAAAGCCTCTTCCTCATCCCTCTTTTCCACTTACCACTAGAGACAGAAACTAAAACCCATGGCTTCAGGCTGTTAAAAACCTAAAACAAAACAAAACAACAACTACAAAATAAGGTGGATTGGACAAGCTTGTCCAAATCATTGGCTACTTTAAGATTGAACCACATGAGCAGGCATGATGGCTCATGCCTGTAATCCCAACACTTTGTGAGGCCTAGGTGGGTGGATCACTTGAGGTCAGGAGTTTGAGACCAGCTTGGCCAACGTGGTGAAACCCCGTCTCTACTGAAAATACAAAAATTAACTGGACATGGTGGCATGTGCCTGTGGTCCCAGCTACTCTGGAGGCTGAGGCAGGAGAATTGCTTGAACCTGGAAGGCTGAGGTTGCAGTGAGCCAAGATTGGGTCATTGCCCTCCATCCAGCCTGGGCGACAGAGCAAGGCTCCGTCTCAAAAAAAAAAAAAAAGATTAAACCACTTACACCATCTGGCCTGTGGGTTAGGCACACATGTGCATGCACACTTCCAGCTTCATCTTCCTGCTGGTGCTTCTCAATGATACGTATGAGAAGGATCACTTCCCTTCCTTATTTCCTTTTGTGGGATAGGATGGATCTAAAAGGGGCACATTAATAAGAAGGCATAGTGATTAATGTATTCAGCAAAGGTTTTTTCCAATCTTAAGGAACAGATTTTTTCCCTTGAAATGAAATTTGGTTGGCCTTGTTTATGTAAGCTTATTATGCCAGCAGTTGTGCTTGTTGCAGTAAAAGAAGATTCCCTCTTTTCGGGGGGTGCTAAAAATCCCACCTACATACATCCACACAGTTCTGCCTTAGATACCCAGTTCATAGTGTGAACACCACTGTCCTAAGTGGAGATTTAGTTTAAAAAAAAAATTTCTGGCTGAGCAGTGGTTCACGCCCATAATCCCAACACTTTGGGAGGCTGAGGTGGGCAGATTGCATTAGCCCAGGAGTTTGAGATCAGCCTGGGCAACATGGCAAAACCCCTTCTCTAGCAAAAAACAAAAAACAAAAAACAAAACACACACACACACACACACACACACACAGATTAGCCACATGTGGTGGCATGTGCCTGTACTACCAGCTACTTGGGAGACAGAGGTGGGAGGATTGCTTGAGCCTAGGAGGTTGAGGCTACAGTGAGCTGCGATTGTGCCACTGCACTCCAGCCTGGGCAACAAAGAAAGAGTCTTTCTCCAGGAGAAAAAAAAAAAAAAAGCACAAAATAATTTTCAATATTTTTCTACAGATTTCTTTTGAATTTCGATCACTTCTACATTCTCAGCTTGCCACATTGTTTTTTGATGAAGTTGTGAAGCAGATGGTAGCTGCCTTTGAAAGAAGAGCATGTAAGCTGTATGGTCCAGAAACAAATATACCTCGGGAGTTAATGCTTCATGAAGTCCATCACACATAAAGGCAAAAAAGAACTGGTGTCACCTGCTTCTAACTTTAGTGTGTTCACTTTTAGGAAGTATTTTCATGACATGTTTTCAGAAGCCAGAAAGCATTTGTTAAACGCAACTTTGGTTATAAACCTGCACCATTGAAAATTTGCACATAGAATATAGACTCACTTGTACATAGAATTATTTCTTCAATCAAGTATAATTCAAAATAATATGGACATTATCATGTTCTGCATTACAATAATGGGATGTCATCACCATTGCTAGAATACGGGCATGATTCTTTTGAGCAGAAGTTGAAACTGTAAATTTAAACCTTTTAATTATCACCTTACCTGAAAGAGGTTAGTTAAGATATTCACGCAGTATATATTATATTAACCATATCACACTTAAGTTATTAAATTCAGACTATTTGTAACTTATTGTTATAGGGCCTGCCATATGGCTTAGGATATTTGAGTAATCATATATTTAAAGTAAAAACTTTGGGCTGGGCGCAGTAGCTCACGCCTGTAATTCCAGCACTTTGGGAAGCTGACGTGGGCAGATTAGTTGAGGTCAGGAGTTTGAGACCAGCCTGGCCACCATAGTGAAACCCCATCTCTACTAAAAATACAAAATCAGCTGGGCATAGTGGCACACACCTGTAATTCCAGTTACTTGGGAGGCTGAGGCACAAGAATCGCTTGAACCCGAGAGGCGGAGGTTGCAGTGAGCCAAGATCGCCCTGCTGCACTCCAGCCTGGGCAACAGAGGGAGACTCTGTCTCCAAAAAAAACAAAAAACAAAAACAAAAGCTGTTAGTGAAGGTTCCCTGGGACTTTTGATATTTTAAAAATTGTTCTTATGACTAGTAGATAAATTCAGTGCCATAATGAGGCTAGCTCCCAGATAAACAGTGAATTTTTTTCTTTTTTTTTTTTTTGGTGAGTGGTCCAGAGCTTTAAGCTACTTTTCCAGTAGTTTGCCACTTTCTCCGAGGTAGTTTGGCTGCTCTTTCAATTATGCTAATTGTGTGTCAAATTTTGTCTACAACAGTAGGCAACAGATGAAGATAAGTTGGTTGAATGTCTCCAGCACTGTGCATCCCTATTTTCTATTTATTGTGTATACTCACTTTCAGTAATGTGTTTCAAACTGATATTTTTTAAAAAACAAATCAATGTAAGGACTGAAGTTGAAGTAGCAACGTAATAAAGTTAATTTGTTTATTTTTTGTACAGTTAGTTTGGTTATTGAAATCTTCCTATATTGTTTAAATGTGTATTTGCATAGACATAGTAAAGTGTTGTTATAGCATTTCATGTCTTAAAAAATCTATGAAGATTTCTAAAATATCTATTTCTATGAAGAAACAGACTTTGACAAATATAAGCAAAATTCAATTTTCTTTTAACCAGTCATTGATCTCCTGTCCTCCTTTCACTACATACCAACAACCCTCTGGCATTAAACTTCCAGTGATAGTGTTATTAACTTTGTTTCCTCAGATCAACAAGGGACCTCAGTAATTAGTTCTCTACATAAATATATATATGTATTAATTTGTTTAATAAATCTGTTTTGAGCACCTGCTTTCTCTCAGACACTGGGTATAGAGTGATGAAGGATTCATACCAGCCTCTACTCATGAGGAGCCAGGTTGTGCTTTCACACAAGGTAAGCAGTATCTTTCCACTTACAGATGAGGTATTTGCCGAGAGCATAAGTAGTTTGCATATAGTTACATACATTTTTTTTTTTCTTGAGACGGAGTTTTGCTCTTGTTGCCCAGGCTGGAGTGCAATGATGCGATCTCGGCTCACTGCATCCTCTGCTTCCCACGTTCAAGCAGTTCTCCTGCCTCAGCCTTCTGAGTAGCTGGGATTACAGGCATGCACCACCACGCCTGGCTAATTTTGTATTTTTAGTAGAAATGGGGTTTCTCCATGTTGATCAGGCTGGCCTCAAACTCCCAACCTCAGGTGATCTGCCCGCCTCAGCCTTCCTAAGTGCTGGCATTACAGGCGTGAGCCACTGTCCCTGGCCAATGTTGTTTTTTAAATAAGAAAGTTTTTTTTTTTTTTTTTGGCTGGGCATGGTATTTTTTGTATTTTTTAGTGGAGACAGGGTTTCACCATGTTTTCCAGGCTGATCTCGAGCTCCTGACCTTAAATAATCTGCCCACCTTGGCCTCGCAGAGTATTGGGATTACAGGCGTGAGCTATTGCACCTGGCCACAAAGTTTTTTTAAAATTGCGAAGTCATTTAAAGTTTTTTTAAAAATAAGACTCAGACATTTTATTCTGTGTACTATATTGTCTTTTTTTAAAAAAATTATTTATGTATTTATTTATTTTTAGAGACAGGGCTCCCTGTGTTGCCAAGGCTGGTCTCAAACTTCTGGGGTCGAGCACTCCTCCTGCCTCAGCCTCCCGAAGTGTTGGGATTGCAAGCCTTAGCCACTGTATCTGGCCTGTATTCTCTTTTGATGGAAATAGGAACCCATACTTTATCACTCCTTTTACAAATGCCAGCCAGGTACAGTGGCTCACACCTGTATTCTCAGCACTTTAGGAGGTTAAAGTGGGTGGATTGCTTGAGCCCAGGAATTTGACACCATACTGGCAACATGATGAAACCCCATCTCTACAAAAAAATACACAAACTCAATGCTCAATGTTCATTTCCTCTTTGTCAGGGTGCTCATTGGTTTATGCTAAATTTTAAGGAAGTTGTAAACTTGGGGCTAAACTCAGTTGCCTAATCTAGTCTCTCAATTTCTAGAAATTAGTACTAAAATTATCCAGGTGTGGTGGTATGTACCTGTAGTCCCTGCTACTCAGGAGGCTGAGGCAGGAGGATAGCTTGAGCCTAGGAGGTTTAGGCTACAGCGAGCCGTGATCGTGTCACTGCATCTCAGCCCGGGCAACAGAATGAGACTCTGTCTCCAAAGAGACAGACAAAAATGACTCTAGTAGTGTTCTAATAGCTAACTCCAATGCTCCCTTTATACAACAAACACAGTGGTCATTTGAGTGTTAAAATGGATCCTGGGTCTTTGCAGGTACTTAAGGCCAAGTTTAGAGTGTCAGAGTTTATATATCTGGAGTTATCTGATTCTGTGTAACAGCATTCTAAGCTCAGACCCTCCGAGAAGGAGACAGACCTGGTCAGGAGTTTTTCTGAGGGTAATTTTATGATATTCTCCTTTTGTTTTTTCCTCCCCTGTTTATAAGAGAAAGAGTTCATAAGATCATGATATATAGACCTCTGGAATTTCATGGGACTGACCACCTCAGTTTTCAAGGCTCAAGTTTTTAGGCATTTAACAGAATTATTTTGTGTTGCACATTTACATAGCACTGGATGCCAGACAGTTTAAAATGCTTTGTAGACATTTAATCATCATAACTTTTTGAGGTAGATACTATTATCCTCATTTTACATACAAAAAGTTTTATAAAGAGAGATTAAGTGACTTTCCTGAGGTCACAGTGACTGGTAAAGACAGGATGAAAACCCCACACATTCTGGCTCTAATATCTATGCTCTCATGTTTGCTTTATCTAGCCCAACAGTCTTGAGGCCATGACTTCTGATTCTGTGGTGGGCAGGTCTGTGCAAACCTAGCCACAAAAGCTGAGGAAACTGAGAGGCAGAAGAAAGGTGGACAAATCCAGTTTCTCAGAAAGAAACATTTAATAGGGCCCTACACACAGGAGCAGAAGCCGTGTTTCGGGGCGGCTACAAGATAAGATGGTGGATCCCCTGGTGGATCATCATGGTTCCAGGGCTTATATACCTTAGGCAACTAAGGGACAGGATTTGTGATATGTGTTACAAAGCAGCATCAAGCTTGTTTTGACCTAACGGCAGGATTTGCAGTAAACAGTAGATGAAGTAGAACTCTTAGAGGCATTGTAGACTTAAAACTTGGCATCTATGCTTTACATGTAATAAGGGGAAAAACAATACCATGTTTATAAACTTTTTGAAAATGGCATCTGGCCAGTGGACTCTGAGGGGAAGACTGATGGGATGGGGCTGTTAGATGAGATTTTTCTCTTTGTGGGAGGATCGTTCGAAGAGAAATTCTCCTTATTTTTACCTGATTGAGAACATGAAGTTTGTAGCTACATCTGCCATCTTTTCGCTGTGAGGAAGAGCTAAGATAATTCAGAGAAGCAAACTCAGAATTCTAACATCATTAAGGGTGAATGAACCAACCCTGTAATTGCCAACTTTGCACTTCTGGTTATGTGAGATAACAGACATCTAGTGCTGAATTCACTTTTAGTCGGGTATCAGCGGTTACTTGCAGCTGCTCTTCTGCCCTCGTGATCTGCCCATCTCAGCCTCCCAAAGTGCTGGAATTACAGGTATGAGCCACAGCGCCCGGCCTCAAGATTTTATTTTTATACTTTCTTTTTTTGTATTAAGAAAAGCGCCGGGCGCGGTGGCTCAAGCCTGTAATCCCAGCACTTTGGGAGGCCAAGACGGGCGGATCACGAGGTCAGGAGATTGAGACCATCCTGGCTAACACGGTGAAACTCCGTCTCTACTAAAAAAAAACAAAAAAACTAGCCGGGCGAGGTGGTGGGCGCCTGTAGTCCCAGCTACTTGGGAGGCTGAGGCAGGAGAATGGCGTGAACCTGGGAGGCGGAGCTTGCAGTGAGCTGAGATCCGGCCACTGCACTCCAGCCTGGGCGACAGAGCGAGACTCCGTCTCAAAAAAAAAAAAAGCATGGGGAGCCAGGCGCGGTGGCTCACGCCTGTAATCCAGCACTCTGGGAGGCGGAGGCGGGCGGATCATGAGGTCAGGAGTTTGAGACCAGCCTGATCAACATGGTGAAACCCCGTCTCTACTAAAAATACAAAAATTAACTGGGTGTGGTGGCACACGCCTGTAATCCCAGCTACTTAGGAGGCTGAGGCAGGAGAATTGCTTGAACACGGGAGGCGGAGATTGCAGTGAGCCGAGATTGCATGACGGCAGTCCAGCCTGGGCAACAGAGCGAGACTGTCTCAAAAAAAAAAAAGGGGGGGCAGGCACGGTGGCTCATGCCTATAATCCCAGCACTTGGGGAGGCTGTAGCAGGCGGATCCCCTGAGGCCATGAGTTTGAGACCAATCTGGTCAACATGGTGAAACCCCATCTCTGCTAAAAATACAAAAATAGCCAGGCATGGTGGTGGGGGCCTATAATCCCAGTTACTCGGGAGGCTGAGGCAGGAGAATCACTTGAACCCAGGAGGCAGAGGTCACAGTGAGCCGAGATTGCACCACTGCACTCCAGTCTGGGCGAGAGAGTGAGACTGTGTCTCAAAAAAAAAAAAAAAAAAAAAGACAGAAAGAAAAGCATAATTACTACAAATTACAAAGGACTAAAACCCAACTGGAATAATGAACGAATCACATCAGCCCAGAAAGCAGATACTCTCGTTAATATTATTATACAAGCTTGTTCAAGTATTTTACATTTTTTTGTGTGTGTGGCTTTTTTAAGTGTGATATCCTGGCACATAGTAAAGATAATGTACTATGAACATAAGCCAGATGACCAGTTTTGCTCTCTGGTGAGAAACAGGCTGTAAGTTCTTCTCTGCCATCAATGTGGCTGAAGGTAGAGACAGGTGGGGGCTGGGGAAAATCCAGGGACCCTTTCACACAGGAGGTACTCTAGGGTTCCATCCAGGAGGGTGCCAGATAATCCAGATCCACTCTACTTAGGCTTTTGGCAAAAAACAACCCTCATCCTCCCTAACTAGTCACCAGTGATCCTTGCCCCTCCTCACTTCCAGGGCCTTCTGAGCAGCCTACTTTGTTTTGTAAATTCAATCATCAGGAAAGGGAAAAGAGCTATAATTGAACAAAACTTAAGACATGTAATAACTGTGATGGGCTCAGCACCTCTATCTGAGCTGGGGCAGGGCGGATGGCCCTTCTCTACTAGTGCATTTGCTTGTCACAAATACATTGGTCCTGGCCGGGCGCGGTGGCTCACGCTTGTAATCCCAGCACTTTGGGAGGCCGAGGCGGGCGGATCACAAGGTCAGGAGATCGAGACCACGGTGAAACCCCATCTCTACTAAAAATACAAAAAAAATTAGCTGGGCGCGGTGGCGGGCGCCTGTAGTCCCAGCTACTCGGGAGGCTGAGGCAGGAGAATGGTGAGAACCCGGGAGGCGGAGCTTGCAGTGAGCCGAGATCGCGCCACTGCACTCCAGCCTGGGCAACAGAGCGAGACTCCGTCTCAAAAAAAAAAAAACAAATACATTGGTCCTATATTCACGTGTCTTCAGAAAGTGAAGAGGTAAATTTGCAACATTACTCCTAACGTTACAAAAACTCATTTGCCAGGCAGAGTGGTGCATGTCTGTGGTCCCAGCTACTCAGGAGGCTGAGGTGGGAGGA